TTTTATATTTAAAGAGTTTTTATATTTTATATATTTAAAGCGAGTTTTTTGGGCAGTGTAGAGTAGCGCTTGTTGTTTGTAGTTTCTCCGATCACAAATGCAGGCATGGTTTTATGTTTACGCGGCGCGATGCAACGCAATGCATAAAAAGACAGTAGAAGTCATTAATCCATAATTAATCCACAATCCATAATTATGTCCCCACTAGATGCAACGAATGCCTCGTTTATAATGGGTTTTAATGTTTTTGAATCATCGCTCCGGCCGGACAGGGCATCACAGTATGGTAAGGGGCATAACATTTCTGTCACATGCTTGAGGTATTCAGCCAATCACAACGCACTGGATAGCTGGCCACTCACAGCACATCTTGCTTTTCAGATCGATGAGCTTTGTAAAAATCGACGCGTTTCAGAAAGGCGGGGCATAGAGGAGAAACAATAATGTACAGTATGTGGAAAATAATGTGTTTTTTTACCTTAAACTGCATAAACACATTGCATTACACCAAATACACCAAATAATGTTCTTTTTAGCAACATCATATGACCTCTTTAATAATCTTTTATTGTGCTTTGAAGAAGTACACTAATTTGCTGACTAGCATACTAAAGCACATGTGCTACTCAGGTACTTGATTATTTATTATTTGGCCATTACCATCACTCTTCATTATCAAATTTAACTCAGGCTGCTGCAGAACTGGTGGTCCCGGCGTAAGATGAAACGAGCAGGAGAGCAGAATAAGAGTAAAGAAGAGCTGCCGCAGTGGGATAGAGACTGGAACCTGCAGCCCATGAACGCACACGGCCTGGTGGACGAGTATCTGGAGATGGGTGAGTCCTGCTCGACAACACCTACTGTGAGATCTTCTGAAGTGCGTAATTTTCTGTCATGGTGAAGCTGAATTTAGTTACCTAGTTTAAGTTAGTTAAACCGTCATGATAAGCTGCCTTAATAATAATAACACATCTAAATTAATGTAACTGATGGTTGAAGATAACTGCTTTGCCCTTGAGTACTGAGATTTGTTTATATTATAAATGCACTTATTGTGAGATTACAATAAGTATATTCATCAGGGTGGCCTGATTGCAATGCATTGTGCAAGCGTTTGTGTGAGTGATAGCTTGTAATCTAGATGGGTTGCAAGTTTCGTCTGTTTTCTGTACAGTTCTACAGTTTGGTTTCACTACAATCTTTGTGGCGGCATTTCCTCTGGCTCCTCTGCTTGCTCTGCTCAACAACATCATCGAGATCCGATTAGACGCCTACAAGTTTGTCACGCAGTGGAGGAGACCGATGCCCGCTCGCGCTACTGACATCGGTTGGTCCTTTTCACCTCAATTAGCCTGGTGTCAGTTTATTCCAATCTAAATGCAAGAAACACAAGAGTTAACTTAATTCAGTCTGTTGTAAATATAGATTGATATAGCATGAATATTCACAATAAATAGGATACATCAATTCTTAAAGGGTTAGTTCACCCAAAAATGAAAATTCTGTCATTAATTACTCACCCTCGTGTTGTTCCAAACCCGTAAGACCTTCGTTCATCTTCGGAATACAATTTAAGATATTTTTGATGAAATCTGAGGGCTCTCTGACCCTCAAAATGTGGAATAAAGTCATTATTTTTGTTTTCTTTGTGCAAAAAAGTAAAAAGTCACACGGACAACTTTGTCGATCATCTTGGTACTTTTCTGGACCTTGAACGTGGTAGTTACCTTGCTGTCTATGGGAGGGTCAGAGAGCCTTCAGATTCCATCAAAAATATCTTAAATTGTGCTCCGAAGATGAACGAAGGTCTTACGGGTTTGGAACAACACGAGGGTGAGTAATTAATGACAGAATTTTCATTTTTGGGTGCACTAACCCTTTAATGTTCTTTAATGTAGCAGATTACTTTATAGATTCATGTGTTATCTGTTCTGACAAATTTCTATATATTTTGATTTGATAGATTTGTTTATTTATTTATTTTTTAATTAGGTATCTGGCATGGTATCCTGGAGGGAATTGGAGTCGTAGCTGTAATAACAAATGCCTTCGTAATTGCCATCACTTCGGATTACATCCCTCGCTTTGTCTATGCTTTCAAATATGGGCCCTGTGTGGACAAGGGTTACCGACATGAGAAGTAAGATTTCAAAATAGCTGCAAGCAACAATTACAGGGCCAAACGCACCAGTGGCATGTGCATTGCAAAGCTGAGCAGATTTATTTGGTTAGCACCTCTGTTGGTGATGGGTGGTGGCCAAGATGGTTCAGCTTCACCTTTTGCATTATCAGTGCATTTCTGGGAAGCTATTTTGAAAATCAGAAATTGACAGATTTTTATGGAAATTATCTGCATCAAGTCAAATTGGACTGACTGTATTTAGACATAAAATTATGAATTTGTGTGAATCTCTGTGTTGCTAATGCTGTGTATTTGCATTTTGTGTGTCTTTACACAGATGTCTAAGAGGATATTTGAACAACAGCCTGTCTGTTTTTGATATGGGTGAATTGAAAAATGGGAGTTATCATCCTCGATACTGCAGGTACGGCAACACTCATGCTACATTTTCATATTGTTATATGCTTGTTCTTCAGTTGGGTTTTGTCTTTTTCTCAAGGTAAATTTGTCTTATTCCTCTCTACAGGTATCGGGATTACAGAGCGCCTCCATGGAGTCCTGAACCCTATGATTTCACCCTGCAGTTCTGGCATGTTTTGGCTGCCAGATTAGCCTTCATCATAGTATTTGAGGTCAGTGCTATTTAACAATTTAACAATATTATCTTAGTAATGCTTTACACCACCAACATTTCATGGGAGCCAGTGTAAGCACAAAAATGGACTTGAGGTATGGTCTCTTAATGGGTTTGTCCACAGGTTCTGTGTAGGACCTATCTGAATAAGTCCATACTGGAGCTAATTCAGACAAGACCGACAAGGAACTCATGTAAAACCCCATTTAGAGTCCATAACGGGGATAATTCAGATAGGGCCATCATGGAATTCAAGTGGAGCTTATTCAGATAAGGATGATAAGGAACCTATGGACAAACCCATGTTGAGCCCATACCTCAAGTTCATATTGTGCCTACATTGGCCTCACCTTAAATTGTTGGCTTGGAGAAGCTACTTTGAAATTTTAGCTTGCAAAGCTACAAGCTATGTGTGGTTTTAAGTAGTTAAAGTAAACCTGATCTTTGATTAAGCTTACAAGGTTCTAGTGGAGGGTCTCCAAACTCAGTCCTGGAGGGCCTGTGTCCTGCAGAGTTTAGCTCCAACTTGGCTCAACACACCTGCATGGAAGTTTCTAGCATGCCTAGTAAGACCGTGATTAGCTCGTTCAGGTGTGTTTAATTAGAGTTGGAGCTAAACTCTGCAGGACACCGGCCCTCCAGGACCGAGTTTGGAGACCCCTGTTCTAGTGTAATGGAGGCCAGCTAGTACAGACTATGTGGGTAAACCTCACTTCCCTGGCCTCAGGAAGCACAATAGTGACTGGCATTAGAGGCTGCAGCTTTTAGAGTCCTTGTTAACGTGCCTGACTTCCATCGCTGTTCAGACTCCGCTTGGAGTACAGTGGTGCCATGACCCGGATGGGAGTGAGGTTAGGAGGGTGAGTGTAAACAGAGTCCAACTGGTATGTGATAACTACAGTATGCAGTTAAACCTCACTCTCCTGGCCTCAGGAGATGCATTAGCCACTGATGCAAGAAACTGTGGTTTTAGCGTCCTTGTTAACATGCCTGACTCCCATGCCAGCTATTGTCTATTCAAGCCATGCTTGGAGTGGGCAGAGAGGAACTGGTAACATTAGCGCAATGTATCAAATCTTGGGAGCCAGACTTTTGACTTTTGGCAAATAGACCTATTCTGGCAAAGAACCATGAGAATATGTTAATTTTGGAAAAAATCAGTAGAATGTCCAAGTAAGCAGTATTCTTAAAACAGTATGAAAAAATACCTAAATCGCCTATTACTACTGAAATTCTAAAGTGCTCATTGTCATGGGACTTTGATGGCACTGGTCTTCCTTCACACAAGGCTAATTTAGCTACTTCTCAGTATTGCAATGCAACCTAAGATTATTTCATGTTTGTGATTTTTCCATTGTCTGTTATATTCTCCATAGCACCTGGTGTTTGGCATTAAGACCTTCATAGCCCATATGATTCCAGACATGCCAAAAGACCTGTGTGATCGCATGCGCAGGGAGAAATACCTGATGCAGGAGATGATGTATGAGACGGAACTGGAGCACCTGCAGAAAGAGCGGAAAAAGAATGGCAAACGTTATCACCATGAGTGGCCTTAGCCATGCCTGTCCATAAATACACAAAAAATGCCCACTGGAGAACCACATACACTACCCACAAAAGCACATAAAGACTTGAGAGTGGCGAACAAGCGTCCTTGCAACATGCAAACCTGCAGCACATATGTGAATACGGACATTCATGTACAACCGTTCTGCTACCTTGGACAGCTAGCTTTATTGACTCCATGCATGGGCTGCCCACTTTTCATTGCTGTGACAAACCAGGGAGCGGATTCAGCGTTTGGGGTCAAAACCTGATCTCCAGCTGGCCCTTTAGAGCCAGGAGTTGGCAGCTGTACTCTGCACCAAAGAGGTTCTTCTCAATCACATGATCCCTACCGGAGACATCCGATTATCCTATATTTTCATCCTGCTGAGTAGTTCTAAATCTTTAGTGATTGGCTACTTAAACTTTTGGCTCATTAGCTAAAAGTAGCTATGAAAGCAGTCTGGGAAAATCATGGATTGGGATAAGGAAGCTTGAGAACCACTATACTAAAGAAAGTCATGACTGGGCGTTTTGTCGATAGAAATGTGTCTTGAGGGTATGGAATGAATGGGATTAGTTTGAAATCAAGCAGAAATTAAATAAATTGGATTTCCGAAAGCACAACTGGATCCACCTGCCTTCTTAATAGTCAACAAACGTGTGTGCCAGAGTACGCTGCAGAGCATGAAGGAGTTTCTCTTCCGCAAACCACCGCTTTGTCCATGTGAAGCATCATCAACACTGAGATCAATGGATTACAGTGTTTTCTGACACACCGTAAACTCCAGTGTGTAGGTGGGAAATATCATTCATTGAACATGCATCCTTCCCAGCATGGCCTGCAGTGGCGCTGCTCTTTCATCTGTGTTCTGTAGTAGTTCTGAATGGAGCACTTGTGCGGTTGGACTGTTTACTATGCAGATGAAGGGCTTTTGGAGTTCCTGTTTTCTGCTTGCCTACTTGTCTGCGTCTCTGTGCGTGGCAGCTATCATCCCGCTGTGAAGCAGTTCTCTACCTGGTGACCAGGCAACGTGAAGACGTTTACTTACGAACATATTTACCGATACGCCCTCTCTCTTTGCTCTCACATTGTGATTCTTGTTACAAAAGTGGTTACCAAATAAAAATCAGTTTGTTTATGCAAATGAACAGTTTTTATGTACTGCATCGCCTTGAAAAGATATGCAGATCTGTCTTTCAGTACAATAAGTCATTTTGTCTAGGCAAAATAAATAAAACAAATAGCCAATATTGGCAAAACGGTGATATAAGTAACATGCATGATTTTTTTTAATTGCATGTTGTTTCTTTGTTTTTCATTATTTTATAAGATTATGTCCTTTGTTCATATGCCTGGTTTTGTAGCGTGTGAGCTGAATTGATGTGTGAGTGTGGCTGCATTTGTTGCTCAGCTTGTCATGAGTTTTGTGTTGCCATCGGCCTATGCGCAAGACAGTGGCTATCTTTCGAACAACATACTAGCATCTCTGCAATATATAGTATGTATGCTGTGAATTTTCTGTATGTGTAAAACACCCGAATGAATTACTACGTTTGCAAAAGTATTAAGCATACAACCTGAGTGAGCTGTGTGGAATGCTGTATCCCACATTGCAATGCTTTTGACTTAACCTACAGTACAATAGAGTGATGCAGTGATGAAATGCTTTTGTTCAGAATAATAGAACTGGAAGTGCTAAAATACTTCTTTCCAGGCTTTGGCCTACAGAAATATGCCATCCCTGTAGCACTCTATTTCCAGTGTGATTAATGTACTAGAAAAATTAAAAACCCTTCTTGATTCATTATTTGATTGGAACACCAAAAATTGATTATGAAAATGTGGATTTACCGTTTTTATTTTCATTCACTCCCGAATCAATAAGGTATGTAGCAACAATGTAGCATACTACTGTTTGAAGCATTTATTGTTGCATAATGGATGCTGTTTGACATACTAAAATAGTATGCAGTATACATACCGTAAACTGCAGTATGAAGTAAGCAGTAAGCTAGTGTTCCACTCCAAACATGGTCAACTACTGTAAAATATAAACATCACAGCATATGAATCTATCCACCATTATCCATACAGTTCAAGCTTAAACAGATGTGATTATAGAATTACCATTGGGACAGTGGACATGGAAGACAAATTCTGTTATTTTACATTACTCTTTTTTTTTGTATAAATGTAAAATGTTGTATTTTCTTTTTTGGGGGGCGTGTATGTGTGCATGTTCAAATATGTGTGTTCATAACCGTGTGTTTGCATGTGTGTGTGTGTCTGTGTGTGTGTGTGTGTGAGAGAGAGAGAGAGAGAGAGCAAGAGTTTTATAAAGCTGATGAAGTGCTCCCAGCATGCATCTCATTCTTACACAGTTTTTCAAAAGGCAATGACTATGTTCGAAATAGCATACTACCCAACTACTAATACTATGTTTTTTTCAGTATGTATTGTGTATAGTGTGCAAAGAATGTGAATTTTGTATGCATGGAATATTCAGGCTTACTACATGTGCTATTATCTGCATTATAAAGCAGTGCTTGAGATACTGTCCCACAATACAATGTGTTCAACTTGACCTTACAGTTCAGTGTGACATATGCACTAAGAGTAATATCAACCTTGATTTTCTCAACTCATTCTCTGATCAGACTGAGAAAAAGTGCAATATAAGCGTTTATTTCAGAGAGATAACGTCTCTAGGTTACGTATGTAACCATGGTTCCCCGAGGGAACGAGACGCTGCAGGGAGTATGGCAAAGAGACGCAGCGTCTCGTTCCCTCGGGGAACCCGCAGTGATGACAATCAGCTGCTCGAAGCTGACCGTGCATGCTCTGCTCCTAAACAAACGACACACACATCGTGTGTATCTCCTGCCGCCAGATATCGTGGGCAGGGAGAAACACAGCGTTTGTAATGCCGTTCGCTCGCCATAGACTTTCTCATTGTTTTATATATATGAGTGCTTGTGCGGACAGACAACAGTAAATAGACAGACACATACACAGAGCGCTACTGAAGAGCAGAAGCTGGTTTGCGCCCGGCCGGATGTGCTTTTATGCTTTCTGGTGCTTACGTCACCCTGCTCGTGACGTCTCGCTGCTCCATTGGACGGATTTGACACGTGCTTCAGAATGCGGTCACGCAAGGGCGTTCCCAAAGCGTCTCGACGCAGCTCGAGTTCCTGAAGGGGAACTAGATACCTCTCAGTTTAATTGAGTTAAATATGCAATGTAATGTGTCATTGCATAAAGTGTTCTCTTTAACATACTTAAAAAATAGTGCACACATTACAGTACGTACTGTGCGGTATGCAAGAAGTATTCAAGAAATGCATTAGTATTCCATTTCGAACACAGTCAATGCATCTGTCCTCTACAGGCCCTTTGAGTGTTTGCAGATGAGATATTTGTATCATATTTTCTTAGCTTGAATCAAGTATTGCTTTTGTAAGTACATATTTTTGCACTTTCCATTTGCATGGGTAATACCCCATATGGGTACAGATACTGTATACACTCAAAAAACTCTTTAGATTGTGTTCTCGCTTCATAGATACTACACTGAAAAAAAGTTGACTTTAAGTTTAATTTCATGAAAGCACTTTAGGAGTGTAATTTTTTCACCTGTTACCTATATTTAGGATTAACATTCTAAATAAAAAAATGTTAAAAAATATTACGGTGTAGTTTATTAGAACAGTGGTTCTCAACTGGTCAGTCGCAACTCAAAATTGGTCTCCGGTCTGTTCTGATAAGTCTAATGACAGGAGGGAAAAACATCATAAACGCAAATAATAAAATGCACCAGTTTTGGTACAGTGTTGGGTCGCCATTTTGGTCCTGAATAAAAACCAGTCGAGAATCACTGTATTAGAGACTAAAGTGTGCTTTGATGATTTGTGTGTTATAGATGTTAAGCAGGACCAGAATTTCATCAATAGAATGGAAATTTGAGGCTGATCTGAAACAGGAAGTAGTCTCTACTATGACTCACCATTCTCTTGGTGTACTGTAACCTATGCATGACCTCATTGAGGAGCCCAGTCCATCTAGGGCTCTTGACAAACCTTTGTGTATTTGTGCACTTTTTACTGTGAAGTGTGCATGGCCTTTATCTGCTTAAACCGGAGAAGACTGACCTGAGATCAGTACATGTTGTAGTGGTTCTTCATCATGAATGATCAGTTGTTAATGGCCTTGTGGTGATCTCATTAACATTAATTTACAGGCTATTGGACAACAAATGTTATTCAGGTTTTATCAAATACACTTGGTTGTGTGTACAATGTCTTCATTGAAAATGCCTGTCATAAGTACATGAAACAATAAAGATGTTTATAATGATCAACAGCATGTATTATACCACTATAGTCAGTGCTTAACATCTCTTACACAGACTCACTGCATTTTATTCGAATAATGATTCCTGCAACATCAGTTATTAATTATACATATGTAATTGCTAGTATTATTAAAGTTGGGTGATTAAAGTTGGAGTTTTTTGATGTTATTTTGCTGTCACTGCTTAGGTTTGAATTTAAAGTGTCCCTATTATGGGTAATAAAAGGTTCATATTTTGGTTTTGGGAGTCCCCAACAACAGGTTGACATGCATGCAAGGTCAAAAAACACTTTAATTGTCTTATAATATGCATTTATTTTTACCTTATTTGCTCAACGACTCCCAAACGATTTGTTCAACGATTCATTTTTCCAAACCCCTCCTTTGCATGACGCTAATCTGTGATGATTGGTCTCATTTTCATTTCATAATGCCTGATAAAGCAGCTTTTGTGCTTTATCAGCACAGTGCTGCTTTGTGTACAGCGTTACTGGGGAAACCGCTATTTTTACCGCCCCAAAAGCTGCACCTAGTGGCAAAGAATGAATTAGCATTTTCATTCAGACAGACGCGAAAAGACCAACAAGTGGGCAGGCAATATGCTAATGTTTCATGTTGACGTCAACATGAAACGGCTTGGGATTCATTTTAAAAATGACTTCTTTCAATGATTCAGAGTCGACTTTCTTTTGAGAGACAATAACTTTATACACGGTGCACTTTCAGATTTAAAACTTTGCAGGATGCTTTCATTCACTTAGAGGTATATTACACACTGCATGAAAGGTAATTTTCAAAAATCCATAATAGGGGCACTTTAAAATTCCACTTCAGAGTTCTGTGTTTTTGCAGTTTACATAATGTATATGCATGGTATGCAAATAACAATGATACTAGTGGGTGGGTGTGGAGCCAATGGGCCTCATTATGAATCGTAAACAGAATGAATTTTTGTACAAATAGTTCATAAAGCTATTCTGACCTACACGTTCAGATTCATTAAAGTGTTTATGTCAAATTTTCAACATGTTAGTTGGTACAAACAAAATTTGTTTGGCATATGGCTTAATTACTCCCTTTTGGATTTATGCAATAAACTAAAACCAAAGCTGAGAATAGAGTCCTGAAGATCCCACAGCACTCTTGTAAGCGTAATTCATGGATCCTGTACTTTGACACAATATCCTGATGGTTCTAGAACAGGGGTCCCCAAACTCGGTCCTGGAGGGCTGGTGTCCTGCAGAGTTTAGCTCTAACCCTAATTAAACACACCTGAACCAGCTAATCAAGGTCTTACTAGGCATGCTAGAAACTGTCTTGGCAGGTTGGAGCTAAACTCTGCAGGACTCTGGCCCTCCAGGATCAAGTTTGGAGACCCATGTTCTTGAACAGTGGTTCCCAACCCTGGTCCTGGAGGCACTCCAGCACTGCACGTTTTGCATGTCTCCTTAATCAAACACACCTGATTCAGGTCATCAGCTCATTAGTAGAGACTTCAAGACCTTAAATTGGTGTGGCAGAGAAAAGAGACATGCAAAATGTGCAGTGTTGGGGGGCCTCCAGGACCAGGGTTGGGAACCACTGTTCTAGAACAACATTGCCATCTTCAATTTAGATTTTAGAGTCAGAGATGGGGTTGGGTCTGGAGCAGGAGTGTCCAGTCCTGCTTCTGGAGGGCCTGCAGAGTTTAGCTCCAACCTGCCAAAACACTCCTGCCTGGAAGTTTTGATTCATCCTGAAAGCCTTGATTAGTTGGGCCAGGTGTACTTGATTAGAATTTGAGCTAAACTCTGCAGGATAGTGGTCCTCCAGGAGCTGGACTGGACACCAGTGGTCTTAAGAAACATGGTCATCATTTCTCTCTGATATTACACTCTAAAAAATGCTGGGTTGTCTCCACCCAACTTTGGGTCAAATATGGACTAACCCAACGTTTGGGTTAAAACTTTAATTAAAAAATTTAACCCAACAGCTGGGTTTGTCCATATTTGACCCAACATTGGGTTGAAACAACCCAGCATTTTTTAGAGTATGGTTAGATCATGGCCTCTGGCAGTAGGTGTGGTAGGGTTAGGAGATGAGAATTGTCAGGAGCAAGGGTTGGGAATTAAAGTTTGGAAAAACGTTTAAAGCTGAAGATGGTTCAAATCCAGTGGGATTTTAGAGATAGTTCACCCAAAATGTACAATTCTGTCATTAATTACTCACCCTCATGTCATTCCAAACCTGTAAGAACGTTCATCTTCGGAACACAAATTAAGATATTTTTTGATGAAATCCAGGAGCTTTCTCGTCTTCTATATACTGCAACTACCATGTTCAAGGCCCGGAAAGGTAGTAAGGACATCATTAAAATAATCCATGTGACATCAGTGGTTCAACCTTAATTTTATGAAGCCATGAGAATACTTTTTGTGCGCAACGGAAACAAAAATAACAATTTTATTAAACACTTTCTGAATAAATTATGGACAGAATTATTTAATGACAGCATTTACATTTTGGGGTGAACTAACCCCTTAAGAGTCAATATTAGACCTAGACATTGGAGTTAAGTGTTAAACTGAATCTTACAGGTTAGGGTTGGGTTAGATTCAAGATGGGGTGTCAGGGGCAGGGTTAAGAGCTACTGTCCTGCAGACTTCAGTTCCAACCCTGATCCAACACACCTGCCTGTAATTATCAAGTGACCCTGAACACCTTGATTAGCTGGTTCAGGTGTGTTTAATTGGGGCTGGAGCTGGAATCTGCAGGACAGTAGGTGCGTTTCCATTACAGATTTGCGCAAAACTTTGGTGATATTTTCTGAATGTCGATAAAAAAGTATTGCGAAATGACGGCGTTTCCATTAACCAATGTTATGCGGCTAAAACGTAACCTTTTGCCTCTTGCGATAAGTCATGGCAGCGGATTTTGGTGGGATTTTGGCTATATTTATTCAAAGCCAGGCCAAACTCTGCAGGAAAGTGGCCCTCCAGGAGCAGGATTGGACCCCTGGGTTAAGCCCGAGACACACTGCACGATTTTCGGCTGTCCCAGACGAAAGACTGGCATCGTGAAACAATCATGGTGATTTCTAAATTCACCACGATTGTTTCACGATTCCAATCTTTCGTCTGGGACAGACGAAAATCATGCAGTGTGTCTCGGGCTTTAGGACTAGGCTTCAGAGCTAACCAAAGCTGTTGATCCAGGAGCACAGTCTTACTGGCAAAATCACAGTCATCTTGAATAACGTTCAATACTCCTCTGATGACACCATATGATTTTATTGTTTACAGTTCTAATATAAAGGCTATTAATGTGACTCCTTATTTATCTGTTTACATGTAAAGCAAAAAAAAAACAGTATGCTTTTTTATTTATTTTTACAAAATATTTTCTGTGTAAATTAATATGCTTTACTCATTGCTTTCATGTAAAATGTATTATAAAATACTAATGAAGAAATTATTCAAAAACCATTTCAGTAATTACCTATAAGATTTAAAATGTCAAATTAGGAGTCTTTATTAAACATTAAATATTGTAAAATTATCTAAAATTAAACGTCCCAAACATTCCGTTGTTCAGTCCAACAATTCGTTATTCATGACAACTCTGGTATGAAAGTTTAGATCAACCTGTATGTTAGTGACAGGAAACAGGATTCCCAGAGAAAACAGACCCAGCATCGGGCCTCCGCACATGCCGTGGATACTAAGGGCCGCCTGAGGCACAAGAGGAGAAAAAGGCTCAGTGACAGGAAATTAAGCAGGAACAGATCATCCCGGCCCATATGAGAATCACATGATACCTGCACAATTCCTCCCATATATGATGCAGCCACAGCCATAGTAGTGCAGGCCACACCGAACACCACACCTGAACATCAGCACACAGTCAGAAGTGTTAGTCATATTTAGTAGTTCTCTCCAAGTCAAGCATCACTATTGCTATCCTTTATATTTTTTACAAACCTGTAGCCCTAAGTTTGAAAATTAGGGACATCACACACCGTTTGTGTAATGGATATAAATGACATCCGAAATTAGTTGATTAAAGGAGCAGTTAGTCAATTTTCAAAAAATTCAAGCAATGTCTAAAGACCAGGATAAGTGGTATAACTGATGGCGAGTTTTTTGTATTTGAATTATATTAGCTCTTGATTTGGAGCTATATTTGATTTATCAACCTCCCATTGTGATTTATTATTTATTTATTTTAAATGTATTTAATTGAATGTGCACTTGTAGTTCAAATTTTGTGCAATTTAAAAAAAAAAAGTATTTGCAGATAATAGAAGATTAATGAAATAAAAGTCCACTTAAGTGTACATAAAGTACATTTTCATGACTGTATTTCTATACTATAAACACTTTGACAACCATACTAAAACACATATGTGACCCTGGACCACAAAACCAGTCATAAGGGTCAATTTTTCGAAATTGAGATTCATACATTATCTGAAAGCTGAATAAATGAGCTCTCCATTGATGTATGGTTTGTTAGGATCGGACAATATTTGGCTGAGATACAACTATTTGAAAATCTGGAATCTGAGGGTGCAAAAAAATCTAAATACTGAGAAAATCATCTTTAAAGTTGTTCAAATGAAGTTCTTACTGCATATTACTAATCAAAAATTAAGTTTTGATATATTTACAGTAGGAAATTTACAAAGTGGAAAATTATCTTTATTTAATATCCTAATGATTTTTGGCATAAAAGAAAAATCTATAATTTTGACCCATACTATGTATTTTTGGCTATTGCTACAAATATCCCCCAGCGGCTTAAGACTGCTTTTGTGCTCCAGGGTCACATATAAAGCAATTGATTATAAAGTAATTTTAACTAGCCTTATATCTGAATATATTTAAAACATGCTAAATTTGTAATGAACTTCATCATTACCATTACAAATGTGCAATTACTAATCATTTTAAATTCATGACATTCGGCAATACATTTGAACTATTTTTCAAAGACGATAGAATTATGAAACTACATATAAAGATGTACTGAAGTCCTACTTATGGAAGTAAAAAAAAATTAACTCTTAAATTCAACTAATTGCAATTCAAATATATTTAAACAATAATATAGTTGCATTTAATTACTGTTAGCATCCGATTAAAGTCCGAAAATAGTACATTTAGTGTGCACTGAAGTATATTATGTTATTATTTTCATAATAAGCACTCTTTTGAAAGTATGCTAAAGTCTGGCCTCCAAGATCAATCAAATCTGTAAATGTCATCCATTTAAAGGGTTACTCCAGACAAAAATGAAAATGTTGTCATTAATCACTTACCCCCATGTTGTTCCAAACCCGTAAAAGCTTTGTTCGTCTTCAGAACACAAATTAAGATATTTTGGATGAAAACCGGGAGGCTTGTGACTGTCCCATTGACTGCCAAGTAAATAACACTGTCAAGGTCCAGAAAAGTATGAAAGACATCATCAAAATAGTCCATCTGCCGTCAGTGGTTCAATCTGAGTTTTATGAAGCGACGAGAATACTTTTTGTACGCAACAAAAATAAAAATAACGATTTCTTCAAGAAATTATTCAACAATTTGTCTCCTCCACCGTAGCGCCATTTTGGATAGTATCCATTGAATGTAAACTGCGTATGCTGTTCTACTTGTCTGTGTCAGCAGTACCACCCTGAGTTTTATGAAGCGACGAGAATACTTTTTGTACGCAACAAAAATAAAAATAACGATTTCTTCAAGAAATTATTCAACAATTTGTCTCCTCCACCGTAGCGCCATTTTGGAGAGTATCCATTGAACGTAAACTGCGTATGCTGTTCTACTTGTCTGTGTCAGCAGTACCACACTGATACGTTTTCTACGTTTATTTACGCTTTGATTTGAACTAAAACAGCGCATCCGTGTGGTGCGGCTGACACAGAAGAGTGTACACAGTTCGTGTTCAGTGGATACTCTCCAAAATGGCGCTATGGTGACGCGGAGGAGACAAATTGTTGAATAAAGTCGTTATTTGTGTTTTTGTTGCGTACAAAAAGTATTCTCGTCACTTCATAAAACTCAGATTGAACCACTGATGGCAGATGGACTATTTTGACGATGTCTTTCATACTTTTTTGGACCCTGACATTGTAATTTACTTGGCAGTCAATGGGACAGTCACAAGCCTCCTGATTTTCATCCAAAATATCTTAATTTGTGTTCCGAAGACGAACAAAGCTTTTATGGGTTTGGAACGACATGGGGGTAAGTGATTAATGACAACATTTTAATTTTGGGCTGGAGTAACCTTTTAAGGTGAACTTGTCTTATCATTCTTTGCTGGGCAAAGTGCTAAGTGTTTGACTTCTACAGTTTCTAGACCAACTTTATACAGTTTGGTTTTGGTTTGGTTCCCTCCGCCTTTTGTTTGGCCTACTTCTGCCTGTTAAAAGCATCAGACCCTTCCTAGAAAAATTAGGAGACCCGATGATCTGATGCGCTTTCATTTCTGCCCATATAGACTGGCAAAATGAACAGACTTTTTAATCTCGCTGTGACTCATAATAATGTAATGATCCGCCAAGACAAATCTCTTTTGGTGATTAAATCTGCTCTCATGCCATATGACAGAATCAATATTCGGATTATGAGCGTATCCTCTTTTAATGCCTTGAACACACTGGGTGTATTTACACAGAGCTTTGCTGATCCAGTTGGCCGCTCTGTTGGACAGATCTCTAAAACACTGGCTCACAAAGTCCTCATACGTCACCGTGGCCAAAGCATTGATACTGGCAGCTACTGTGCTGAAAAACAGAAACAGAACATGATCTCTTCTTTTATAGCTCAGATGTTTTGCTCAGATAAACATACGTGAAACCCCATTTAAAGGAAGGTCGTCCAAAAATGAAAGTTCTGTCATTATTTACTGTCTAACTATCCTGGAAATTTCTTTGAATTCCAGAAATGAATAATACAAACTTTGACTGTCTTCTGAAATCTGTTTAACCCTCATGTTGTGTTCCAGTTCTTTTCCCTAAAAATGCTAGTTAAAGTTATCAAGTTGGACTAAATCGTAGTGATTTTGCTCACACAGGGTATAACAACTTCCTAAAAATTTGGGGGGATTTTTCCACCTCTCACGTTGTTGCACTTGTGGTGTTCCCAGTCAAAAATGACTGGGCTACAAAACATTTCTTGTGAGTTTCTCATTATGCTATACCATTACAACATATTGGATTCAATCTTTTTGCCAACTTGTTTTCATCATCAATTAGATCAGGGGTGTCAAACTCATTTAAGGTTGAGGGCCGGATCGGAGAAAATGTCCCCTTGTGCGGGCCGAATTACCTTTTGTTTGCTCACAATTACATTCATATTAACCATACAAACTCTAGGACAACTTTTTTTAAAGATGATGCATGGTTATTTTAGGGATGTGCAATATTGACACAAAATGTATTTTCTTTTCTTTTTTTTTGATAGTGATAATTACCATATTTTGCAGAGTGTGTTTTTGAGATAGCACCTTGGTTGGTTTAAGCCTGTCATGGATAAATAAATATGACACTAAAGCCGCCAGTAGGTGGCAGCAAGTCTCCGTCTTAATGAGTGATCCATTGACTCATTCATTCAAAATGGCTGATTCATTTAGAAACTAAGCTAGTGATTGTCTTTATGAATGGGCCACTGAATCATTGACTCAAATAATTTGTTCAAAAACAGATTAATTCAGGAACAAAATACACAGTGCTGCCTCGGAGACACACGATTGGTCTTACTTCGGCTTTGTTAAAAACTTTTTCTTGCCAAAACAGAGATAAACAGACAGCATTGTGACTAATATAACACACTTAATACCAGCATCTTGTTTGTTGAGCTGTTATATAAAATCTATTCATTTGCGATCGCGCTGACATTCGGGAAAGCAACACTCTTGATATAGTTAGACATTACTTAACTATCACGACATAAATATTAAAAACTAAATTTCTTACTGGGCATTTTTTTTTGCCCCCATATATTGAATTATATTGTAAACTGATAGCCTTCATCCGGCACTGAAAAACTCTCACGATGTGTTTGTTTGTTATGCTATATTATCACCAAATCTTGGAATCGTTCAATTTTTTCAGTTCACTTGTTTTCAGGTTTTGTATTTCTTTTTCCAAGTGATTGATCGCAGGCCTCATTGAGTTGAGCTAATGCACCTCCGTTTTTGAGCGACCAATTCGTTCCAAAAAGAAACATAAAACTTGTTCTAATTCAGGGGTGTCAAACATACGGGCCGCGGCCCGAACTAGGCCCACAGAGGTGTCCCACGCAGGATGATTTAAACAATATTATAAAATAATAAATAAAACATAATTTTGAAAATTAAATAAAGTGTATTCGCTACAATATTTTACTTTGAATTTAAATAGCTCATTTATTTACGTTGATATTACGCCTCGGGATTCGGGACACCTAACATGCGCGTTTTAAAGCGGCGCCAGAATCTCGAGCAGCACGAGGATAATATGAGGATGGCTGCGTTGTAACTGATGCTTGTGGGGCAATTTTCTGGTGATTTTAAACATGTCCAAAAGAAGAAATATGTCCTGGAAGGGCGGACAGGCTATTTAAGGAGAAATGGAAAGAAAGTAATCTCAATGCCGACAGGTATGTTTAATCACAACTCGTGGCTGTGGTAAATGTGTGCAATATTAAACGACACTGTGACGCACTGGACAGCTTCGCATGGAGAAAGTAAATGAGCGAGGAGTGTGCGATATTTATTGTGTACTAATATCCTAACTGTTGTTTTAATGATGTGCGAGCTGACATTTTGTAACTTTGCAAAAAAATCATAGATTTACGAGCAGTTTTTAAAAGGCTGGTAATTTTTGACGAGGAACACCAAATTAGGTTAATTAAAATAACACAAGTCCCAATTACCTGTGGTATACTGTATATATAAATCTAAATTCTAAAATAATCTTCATAATTAAACATTGTATTCAGGGTCTACGTAAATGTAAGTAAATTCATTTTAAATTTAAATTAAACTCCGTTACAACATTTAGTTGACGTATAAATTGAAAATGAACTTTACCTCAGTGTTCCACTGAATGCACATGCGACAAATAAGCCTGGCAGTCCTGGAAACGCACCGAGAATTTCCATCACAAAATATGGCATGAGCTGAAATAAAAATGGATACACTAATGTTAGGCGTGTGAGCAACAGTAATAGCAATGCTTACCTAATAGCAAAGCACCACTAATAATACTGTTAAAAAATTACTCTGAACCGCTGACAGAGACATAAGGATGTTTCGATGTTAGATTCCAATTACAATATCATAGAGATTATTTCAAATAGATGTATGGAGATCATCACCTGGTCAGGAGCAGAGACCGATCCAGTCGACCAGGGGTCACAACGCGAGTAGAAAGTGTACATGATCAGACCAGATATCACAGCACAGAACAGAATGATCCACAGACCCAGCAGATTCAGATACAGAGCCCTGAGAAACAAGAAAGAAACTTTGTGAAGCAACATGTTTTTTTTGTGTGTTTTTTTCAAACATTCTGAAACCAGTATCCTGAAACCTGTTGACTGCCATTTTATTGGAGCTTAAAATAAAACTGGTAAAAATTTACTTACAGCCTTTATGTATAATGCATTATAAATGTAGTTTTAATTCATTAATTATGCCTTGTAATGCACCTTATAATGCACTGGACGATCTCATGAATAAGTATAGCTACAGTTACATTATAACACTTATCAATTCATTGGGACACTATGCATTTTAAATTTGGTTCTATTTATTTACAACAAGATATAATGTATTACAATGCACATTATGAATAATTATAACACATTATATTCTTTAATAACCCTTTATAATTGATTTTACATAGAGGCCTTAAGTAAAGTGTTACCATAAAACTTTGAACTTTTGTACTTGGAAGGCATCATTTATATTTTAAAATATAAGTATAAGTAGAAATGCAAAAGTAAGAGTAGGCCTACAATTATTCAGATTAAACAATATGCAGGTGCACTTATGCATTTGGAAGATTTTTCAGTTCATACATTTCATTTCTTGACACATATTATGTATAATTTGCGTTACAAGAACACAAGTGCAACATTTCAAAAATACAACAAATAATTAATTGCAACTGCTCAAGTACACACTGTTAATGATGAAATGCAAAATGGGCAGATAATTGCATTTGTATGAACACATTTTTTTTTTATTAGTAATAATGTAATTAGTTTCTGGTCAACATGCATTAACAGGGATCATTAAATGTAATGAATGCTCACCAGCGTGCATGACCTTCTGTTTTGCAAGAGATGCATCTCTGGATGGTTGACTGGTTTACTCCGTAGATGCCCAACCAGGTGAAGGTGCCGCCCACAGTGAGTGTCCAGAACGTGTGTCGCCTCAGTGGATTAATGTCAAAGCTGGAAACAATGGTGCACAAAAGTACTACACTGTAAAAAATGACTGAATTTAATGGTAAAAGACTGTAAAAATGCTACAGTAAAAACCTGTTAAATGGTTAATGGTAAATTCCCTTACTATATACGGTGAAAAACTGTATTGGACATTACATGTAATTTTACAGTAGTATACCGTTTTTGGAAGTGAAAAAGACCGTATAATTTACAGTGAATAACCGTAAATTGTCATTCCAGGAATTCCCTGCATTAAATTTCAAATTTGATGGGGTTTTTTTGTTGAAATAATTATGTTTCTTCTTAGTTTTTTCTTATCAGTTGTGTATATTAGGGTTGTGTGTTACACCTAATGTTGTTAAATGAATGTTTATTGCATTATTTCAGTTTCATGTGTGTTACCATGAAGGTGTTTAGCGTTTGTGTGAATGACACTGTGCACCTTCTATATAGGTTATTATATAAAAGCTGCTTGTGATGGGCTTTGGTTCATCGTGTGACTTTCTCATCACCTCCTGCATTTGGTGGTTATAAGTGTATTACAAAGGTACAAAACAGATTTCAGTACTTCAATAGGTTGGTATATTAACATTATTTCAGTTAATGAAATTACTGTATTTAACTGTTTGTTTACTGTTAATTTAAGTTAAAACTGTAAAACCTGAAATGCTACCGTATTTTTTTACGGTAAAATTCCGGCAACCACAGCTGCCAGTTTTTTACCGTAAATTTTACGGATTTTTTTTAACTGTGTCGCAAAGTGTCAATGTTCACATTTCTTCACTGATGTTGGCAAACATTGTATAAATCAATATTTATTCTAATAAAATAGGTGTGCTTTCATTTTTGTTACGTATGGCATGAGTAGATTAAGTTTAGGTCTGCACACACATACTCAAAGACGTCCATTCTGCCTCCAGTGTGAGCTGTGCTCCAGACAGACTCAATCCCTCCCGCTCGACTCGCACCCTGGATCAGCACCGTGAGAAACCCCACCACCATCACCACCATCTGGAAGGCATCTGTCCAGACCACAGCCTTCAGCCCACCCTAAACACACACACACACTGGCACTGTTTCTCCTGTTTCTGTCTGAGCAGAACGGCCCATTCACAAAACTTTAAACATTTCGCTCTTAATTACATATACAGTAATATTTCACACAGTTTGTGTTTTCTCATGAAACGCATAATAACTTTCTAGATGGAACAATATCAAAATTACTAATTGTTTCCCAAATTTGTCTTAAAAGTAGTTGATTCATCTGACACTCCAGGAATGCCTAAATTGCGATGTTTTATGTTTTTGCTATTTTTATTTAAACAGGATATTGGAATTATTACTTTTCCCATTTTTAATTTACTGTTTATATATAATGATATATAGACAATATAATCACTTGTGAAGAGAACGTTATCCTTAATCTATTAATCCTTAATCCACATCCAAGCCACACAGTTTAATTTGAGAAAAAAAATTACGTTTTTTTCATGACGAAACAAGATGTTAATAAGAATATTGATTAAATGTAGCATTCACATATTTAAACAACATACATATTCAATAATGTGTTATTGATGCATTTTAGGATTAAATAGAAGTGTCCTAACAGAAACCATAATTACAATCAATCATAAATAATCATAAATAATCATATTTTTTTATCATAATCATAATTACACTTACAGTAAGTGTGAAATCACTAGGGGTGTCCCCGACTAAGGATTTTCATAGTCGAATTGGAATTTTTGAATCTTGCTGATAGTCGACTGATCACATGTTTGGGGGCGGGGCAAAATACATTACCAAGAGTCAAGTCAGACATTCGAAAGTCATACGTTAACACACAGGGAAAATGTGTAACGGATGCCTCGCAGATACTAAAATAATGTGTTATGTTTTGATTAAAAGACATAGTTAACATTAACATCAGTGAACATTTTTTACAGTAGAGCTCTCATTATAACGTTGACAGTAGTTATTAATGTTCTGCATTTCTGTTTTGAGCTGCGCACTGAAGATGATCCGTGAAGCATTTGATAGCAGGTTTTTAATCAATGGGATTTAACTCATCATTTATCTCATATAGAATATGCTTTGCTATTTATACAACATAACGTTAATATTAGAACTTATCTGCACAAAATGCTCCGAATGCACATGAACGTGTGCGCGGCTCTGAACGAACTGCTTTTGTGGACGCGTTCTTCACGCAACAACGTGCAGAAACACGGTAACTAAACTCTAAAAATTCAGAGTGTTTTATTATAATACTGTTCTCCTTATAATGTTTTGTATATGACAGTCCCAGTCATAAATATTAATATTCTGCATTGTTTGTCCTGCTCACGCTGAAGAGATAGGCCTAATCACTGTATAGTACTACAATAAAGTGTTCTATGTGAAATCAGACATTTGAGCACCCCTGTATAGCCAAATTGGCACGATCATAACACCTCTGCGAATATTCCACTGTGAGATTGGTATTCGAATCAGGCGCCTCCTATTGAAGCATCGGATCTTCGAATATTCGGGGTCACCCCTAGAAATCAGTTCAGATCTGAATTCAGCATCACTTACCAATGTACAGTAAAAAGTGCAGACAATGCCAGTGGCAAATATGGATCCCCAAAGATCAAATCCTGTCACTGATGACAAAATAAAATAAATACAGATCTGTGTTTATGTAATTGACATTCTGTGTGAATGACTCTTATATTTATATCTGACTTTTATCTAAGTCACAGTAACAATAAACACAGTCTAATTTAACAAACAAAATACAGTTTATACAGTTTATATTAGTTGAATCATGGGAATAAACTCAACAGAGACAGTAGGTCAGTTTTTGTTAAAAACATATGCTGCATTAATAAATGTAATTTAATCATTTCACGCTATTTGATTCCTTTATCGGCTGTGAACATTATTCTCTTGTGCGGTTCACATGACAATTGTTATTCGTGTAGAACACGTGAGTGATCTTCAGTGTGTAAAGGGCATCATAAACGGACATCTGTCTAGATAGTCGGCACACAGGCTTAGAAGCTACTGCTCCAAAAGAAGCACACTTTAGCATACTTATACAGAAATAATACCCTTTAAAAGAATATATTTTGGTGTGAACTTAATTAAATGTTTTCGGGTGCTTAATTCAATGTTAATTGCAATTAAATTAAAAATATTTTAGTATAAGAGATTAAATTGATATTGAATGCAGTGATCGGAACTTTAGAGTGCTTTTTGACCCACTTAAGTGGCACTTAAGAATCTTTATGTGTAATTTCAGAATAACTTCTAATGCCTAAAACATACTTAAAAAAATTATTTCATATGTATTGAAACTTGTGTCATACATTCAAATTACACGTGTTGCAATTTAAATTTTAACTTTGAATATATCAAATAACACGTGAGTTAAATTATAATCAAGTACATTAGTACTTCAGTAATCGCTTTAGTATGTTAGTCAACATCAAAATTAGTGTACTTCTAAAAGATTATTAGGACCCACTTTATATTGTGTCTTCAACTATTATACTCTTACATTTATTTAAATTATGTGTATTTAAACATGTATTTAAATTAATCATTTGATACAATTCACTTATTTGTGTACATATCTTTTTTTACATTGTACTTGTATTTAAAAATACTTTCCACTAATTGCATCTGTAATTAATTTCTGTAGTTACATCTATAATTACAGTTGACCCTAAACCTAACCATTGCATCAAACCCATCCCTAAATTTACCTGTGTCCCACCTCAAAAGCAGAAAAAGTGATTTGAAGATTTAAGATTTTAGACTTTTTCACAATGGATCCCTTATTCAACACCCCACTCAGGTTGATGTCAAATGGTTATTTTCCCCCCACAATATCTGTGTAATGAATGCAGACTGACCTTGATTGAGTGCTAAAGCTGGCGCATAAACTACCACACCGGTGTACAGAATCTGAAGAGGTAACATCAGAACAATCAGCATAACAGCTGATCAAAAACCAAACAATATGTGTTTGAACATTCAATGCCACTCACCGTCTGAATGATATAAATGAAAGTGGCTGCAAATCGAACAAGCTTACAAAAACGCAACTCCAAATACTGTGAGAAAAACAAATCAGAACAAATCTGTATCATGCTGGAGGGCCCCAACCTGCATAACCACAGCTGACGCGGCCTATGGGATTTATTACTAAAGTCATGACCTCCAAAAAGCCCAGCAACTTATCTTCTTACATCAATACTTCATTTCTGTCCACTGGAGTAGATATGTGTTATATTGATGATTTTGATATGGTGATATTTGTATAATACAATAATTTAGTGAAACCTGCTTTGATGACAAAGCAAATCTGAAATATACGTATCCGTACCTCGTATGTACTGGTGATGCCTGATCTGTAGAAGACAGGCAGGAAGAGCTCAGCGGTAAAAAACACCACGAACGTGTAGGCGACCCCAAAGATGACATACGAGGCCCCGTATCTGTACACATCTGATGGGGCCCCAATCACTGTGACCGCAGACATGAAGCTGGCGGTGAGAGAAAGGGCCACAGGCCCGCAGGACATCTGACGGCCCCCGACCAGAAACTCTTTAGATGAGGCTTTCTTTCTCTCTTTTATGGCGAAGAAAACCCCGATACCAGAGGAGACCACGAATAGAAAGGCGAACACCACATAGTCCCCAACCTGGAAGATCCCCACTGTGTGACTTTTGTCCTCCATGCTTGAGGCAGAATCTGATCAAACTGCTAGTGTGGCTCCAGTTTCTCTAGTTCAGACACCTCACATGTTAATCATGTTAATCATTGAGGTTTTAACAGGTTAAAAATGCTTATGAGTCAAGACATGGGACGAGGGGTCATATTAGTCATTATATCACTTATGTTTGTCCTCATGAATTTCCACTCAGGGATCTATCTATCCATCCATCTATCCATCCATCTATCTATCTATCTATCCATCCATCCATCCATCCATCCATCTATCCATCTATCCATCTATCCATCTATCTATCTATCCATCTATCTATCTATCTATCTATCCATCTATCCATC